ATCTTATCTTATCTTATCTTATCTTATCTTATCTTATCTTATCTTATCTTATCTTATCTTATCTTATCTTATCTTATCTTATCTTATCTTATCTGAGCTCCTTCAAAAACAAAATAATACAATTTTGTCTCCCAACTGTATCAACAAACGCAGACTTCTCTTTTGGCCAAGCATAAATGTATTTAAACACTCAACATCGTGCCCAAATTTGTTGTCTTCATCATTGAACAGGAATGAAGTTATTGAAATTGGAGTTGTTTTAATTTGGCAGCAATACACTTTATTCTTGGCCATATAAATGTGATCAAACTGAAGCTGAAGTCATTTAAAGAGCTGTCTGCAACAGGTAAGATATTAACTGTTCAAAACCTTCAAAACATCTAAACTATGTATTTATTTTTACAAGTTACCAAAAGTTTAACACCAATTTTTCTTATGAACTATCTAAACTATTTTTGCAATCCTGACAGTTTCACACATCGCTGAGTTGAATGGCAAAGATATAAGTGAACGACACAACACATGTGACGTGTGAGCAGTTTGAAATGTGACTCAGACTGACAGAAAAGACCAAACAGGTCAGAAAGGTTGATGCTGATGTGGAAAGAATAAACATCATACTGACTGGTGGCAGCTGTGCCACTCCCAGGAGTAACGTGGCCTGTTGGGGAGGAAGTCGGCGGTCCCCTGGTTCTTCACTCTCTGGGGAAACCTCAGCAGCATCCGGGTGTCGTAGTCTCTCGCTCTGTAGGCTGAGCTGCAGACGGAAAACAGTATGTGATTGTAAAAGGGAGAGGGAGAGAGGAAAAACACTTCTGTTGTGGATATCACCAAAGATTTTTTTTGTTGTTTTTCTACTTCCTCTCCTCCTCAGAGTGGAGCAGACTCTCTCTGTGAGTAAATGATGGGTGGAAAAAAAATCTTTATGGTTGTTTGGGTTAGTCGCCGATAATGTGTTTACCATTTGGGCTTTCTCTCCCAGGGCAAGCTATGATTAAACTTTTTTTTACAAAAAAACCACCTCCCCCTCTTTAGGATTCACTTAATTTCACCTCAGCTCATGTTGCTTTCACTGGCTGCAGCCCACTAAGTGGTTATTATGGCCTGGAGCTCTGTGGATCAAATGTCTCTTAAAAAATAAAAAATCTGTCCTGACAATACCTTGACAAACAGTTTTCCTCTGCAGCACATCTCAGGTTGTACATGGGGACTCTTTGGGCATAAGCAGAGGCCTGGATGTAGTATGGATCAGGTACAAGATCAGGAAGACCTGAACACACAGAATAATGTTAACAAAAATAAACACCAAATGAATAAAATGCAACAGTTGGTCATAGATTGGATAAACCTAAGTGAGCTCAAAGGTCTTCAGAGCACTTTCTGCTCTCTTACCGTACTGATGGTAACTTGTGCCATATCCGGGTCTGGATCTGGGCCTGGGTCTCTCATAAACATCGTAATAATTGTAATAAGGATTATCAGGGTCGCTGGACTTGTAGGGGTCGTACGGATCATCGCCGACCATCATGTCTTCGATCGGGCGCCGAGGTCGGGTCGTGTTGACCTTCTCCTGGACCACCTGGGTGTCGTTGACTTTGCGCTCGTCGTGCGCCTCCGCGCGCCGCCCGGGACCCTGACGCGGAGGATGCTGCCCTCTCAGGAGCCTCTGGAGCGACGGCGTCTGGACCACCGGCTGACTCCGGGCATCCTGAGGTTTCGCCTCCTCATCCCGGACGATGGCGACGGGTCGCGGCTGCGCTGGCTGCTCCTGCGGCGCGCCTCCTCTGCGCTTCGGCGGCTCGTACTGCGAGCCCTGGCTCAGAATGCTGAAGACCTTCCCGTTGTGGGACCACTGCAGCGTTTGCCGGAGAGCCCCCCTCTGCTCACTCCTTCCCGGGGTCCTCTGAGTTTGGGCAGCTTGCAGGAGGAACAGCAAGGAGCAGACGCGCAGATAACGCAAAGCGCGAAAGGCGCGAGATCCCATCATGAACATAAAAACTACAACTTCAACAGATAAAATCCTTCATGATCAGGATGTTTACAGAGCAGTGAAAGTGAAAAGCTAAAGTTTCAGTATCCTTGTGAGCTCATCTCCTCCTCCCCTGCAGTTTGCAGGATGATGATGATGATAATGATGATGAGGAGGAGAAGGAGGAGTTCAGTTGAGCTTTGTCATCCTCCTAAAAGGAGTGGGTTTAATGACTGCACAATTTTAGTCTTTACAAGGTGCTAAATGAGGCTAACAAGCTGTAAAATGTTTTCAACCATCAGAAAAACTTTTGACAAACAATAAAAACTTATTGAAACCGATTTTAAATATTCTAAAATTAAAGTCCCAGCACTCCCTGAGGGAATGCACATCACATTCTGCCTTTGGTAAAGAAGTAAGTTTAAGTTTAAATAAGCTGAACATGAATTTCAGCTTCTGCAAGCAAAACTTTAGCTCAATATCTGTAAAATTTACAACATTTTAGCCATTTCTTTGTTCTTCCTGAGTTGGGCTATGTTAACCATCTTGAATCAGGTTAACATCCTTGAGTTCAGATGATATTTTGCTAACAGACAGATAGGTATTTCAATTGTTTGCAGGCTATAACTCTCAGCTATCAATAGATTTGAGCTAAGTGGCTGAGTTGCAGTCATTTTTGGTGTTGCTTAGATGTGGCAGCCATCTTAGATGGGGTTGAAGTCTAGTTGTGCAGTCAGTGATTAGTTTCACTCTGATGTGCAGTGGTTCATTAGATATTTTGATAACAGCAGGACAGACAAGGAAATAGAAATGCAGGCCTTTGGCATGGAATAAAAATGGCTTCACACTGCTCATTTTCAGATCGAACACTCAACAACAGGGGTATAAAATTAATTTTGGGGGCCATGAGTCTTATGTTGGCCTTCAAAGGGCCAGTTTTAATTAAAGGGATCCCTGATTAGTTGTAACATTAGACTTTATTTGATAAACATATATTTTAACAGTAAAATAAAGACTGTAAAAATACTGTAGGCTGTTTAGTTTTGTAAATTTTTAAAAATATATTTTAACATGGATGGGGCCATTTTATTTACACGCAAAGCATTCTGGGTAAATGATGACATGGATAGGTCCTCGGTGTGAGGCTTTTAGCGAGCTATATCCACCCTGAAGGTTAATCTTGGACAATATCTGATGATCGACTCTTTTAAATGAAACCAGAGAGCGTTGACAGAGAGGAGAAGGTAGAAATGACTCAGCCTGTAACTGAAAATATGGATGGAGGACAACAGAGCTGCTTCATGGAAGAAGAACCTCAGCTTAGCCTGTTAGCCTTTGTGCTAGTGCTGACGCTATATTGCCTTATATGTATTAGCTCGGCGCTAGCACAACAAGCTAAACTGAGGTCCTTCGTCCATATTTTCAGTTACAGGCTGAGTCATTTCTACCTTCTCCTCTCTGTCAACGCCTCTCTGGTTTCATTTAAAAAGAGTCGATCATCAGATATTGTCCAAGATGAACCTTCAGGATGGATATAGCTCGCTAGCAGCCTCGCACAGAGGACCTATCCATGTCATTATTTACCCAGAATGCTTTGTGTGTAAGTAAAATGGCCCCGTCCGCGTAATATATTTTAAAACTTTTAGTTTAAAAATGATAAAAACTAAACAGCCTACAGTATTTTTACAGTCTTTGTTTTACAGTTAAAATATATGTTTATCAAATAAAGTCTAACGTTACAACTAATCAGGGATCCCTTTAACTTCCACATTTCATGTTTAACTTCGACTAAACACAAAATTTTACTTTTTTTTTCCTGTCATTGCTATGGCTGAGTATGGCTAACAAACAATAACTGAGCTCTACGTGGTATTTTCTGCACAGAAACAATGTTTTAATGTGCCCTTTTGATGAAAATGCAGTGAAATGAGATTTTACACTGTGAATTTTGTCAGTTGACAGCTGTTTTTGAAAACTGTGCTCCCCTTAGTGGTGGGGTACCGTCATTTTGCAGGCAAAATGTGGTAGCTCATGATCAATGCTGGCTTTAAAGCAGCTTCTGCTTATTTTAAGAAATTAATTCATCTTTGAAGCACTCACAGGCCACGTAAAATGCAGTGATGGGCCACAATTGGCCCGCAGACCTCTGGAGTTTGATACTAGTGCTCTACAAGAACCTTAATCAGTCATGAGCTCACAAACCTAAACACAACTCCTGATGGCTCCTGTTTCAGTCATTCCAGGAAACCATCTCACAAAAAAACCCACCCTGCACTCCTTCAGAGCCTGGTCTGCATCAGAGCCTCCCTGAAACTGTGAAACACTCGTCCACATGTATATCTCCTCTTTTAAACTCATAATTAGTCAGCGGTGTAAAAGTGGGGAAAGGAGTCTGCACAGTGATACCTGATATCAGAGGTTCTCCGTCCTGTTGGCAGCCTGCAGAGCTCCTCCGCTGATGAATCGAAGTGATTTGCAGCAGCCCAGTCAAATCACGGCCCTGCTGGTAACTTCAGATGTATAATGCATAGGTTGGGAAGGCTTAATTCAAGGTTTTCGTTTTACTCCAACCAGGAACATTTTTTTCTAGAGTCCACATGACCGACCGCAGGAGGGAAGCTGCAAAACCACAGCAAGTTTCACGAGGAATACGCAGTTTCTCAGGCAAGAATTCAGGTCAAGAGACTTTTAAACGTCCTTTAATTCAAGTTGATCAAAAACACACAGATGTTTTATAAAACCACAACTTGGTTTACTACAGCTGCACAGAAAAGAAGCTGCAATAATATTATTCTCAGACAAGGAGGCGGAAATCTGTAAATAAACAGTCAGGACTGAGCCATACTTTCAGAACAAGTGCTTGCATCGACTTTTATATAAGTGGCTCTCATTCAGTAGATACGAAGAAAAACAATGTTAATAGCCCCATTTTGAGCATATTTCCAAATTTTAGGAATGCTTTGTTCACCTGGAAACTGTTTTTCATTACAGAGCAGCAGCACCAGAGCAGCTGGGTGTTAAAGGATTTGTTCAGGGGCGCCAGACTGACAAAGGCCGCGACAAACTCTGCTCTCACTTTCTCTGCTCAGAACTGTCAGCAGTTCAGCTCAGTTCTCATCTCACTGAACGTGATACTAAACCTCTGATTAGTTGGGACGTTATTATACAGACATGTTTCTTCTTGAATGAAGGAAAGCAAAAAGATGAGTTGGGTTTGAGTCAAAGAGGCAACAGGTCCAGGAGAGAAATCAGACCCTCTCCAGCTCCTCCTGGGGGGATCCCATGTTCCCAGATCAGAGAGGATATCCTCCGAGTTCTGGGTTTGCTTTCTAAGCACTTTACCTCTGCATTGAAAACCCTCAACACCAATTTCTACTAGTGATAAACATCTTGGAGAGTCTAAATACAATCTCTGCATTAAAAAAAACATGCTGTTTTGACAAAGGATTTTTGAAAAACTGTCAAAAAAATCCACTTTAAGACTGTAATAAAAGGTCAAACTAAAAAGAGACTGATCACAGAGGTAGATTAGTGAGTTTATTTATAGTGACATGAGAGATGAGATGGGCCACAGGTAAGTATGCAGGTAGGTGGTGCAGGTCTTTGTTGAATCTGAATGGATATTTTCTTCTTGCAGATGTGGAAGCAGAGCCTGGCCTGGAGAAGAGGGGAGGAGAGGATGTGTGGAGGTTTTAGTGGAGGCGATGGAGAGCAGGATGAAAACCTGAGAAGCGATGCAGTGCTGAGTCTCCAGGATGTGAGTATCAGGTTGGACCCAGGAGGAGCTTGAGGACTCAGGTAAGTCACAGCAGCCAGGTAACGTTTTGTAAACACAAGGAACTTCAGGTTTATCACAAAGGATCAAAAGTATTCATGTTAGGTCAGCTGTCATTTTTGCTGCCAATGTCACAAAATGTTCCAGCTTAATTCTCTGGAGTCTTATCAGCACTGGGTCAGGAACAGGTGAGTAGAGTTGGCTCCGTCCCCACTCCTCAGGAGGCTGCAATGAGCATCAAAACACTTGGAAACTCCACAAAATAAACATTTCACCACCACAAATGTGAGTTAGAGTTCATAAAATGTTATATTTCTGCTTAAAGTTCCCCAAGTTACTCCACACGTGCTACAGCTAGCTGCTGCTACCACCATTTAGCTTTGCAAAGGAGCATCAACAGAGTGTTGTTTTTATAACTTTTCCACAGAACCAAATTTCTGAAAATCTGAACAGTCCCTTTAAAACAGCCTGACCTGACTGCGATTTAGATCCAGTGTCCAAAGAAAACATTTGGTGTTTTATGAATTAAAACTTCAAAAGGAGGAATTCTGGAAGGATTGGCACACTGAAATCCTTTTTTTAAAGCAAGACTAAAGATGCATTCCACCTTAAAACCTCCTGAAACTGATTTTACCAAAAACAAACATTTCTCAGTGTCAGCATTTGGTTTGTTGTCTTTATAGATGAATCTATGAAGGGTAAAGGGATTGCTGTATTTAATTAGATATTAAGCAACATCAGTCTGACTTATGGGTTTAACTTGAACAAGTATCTTTGGGAACAACTGACCAGCAGCTGAAAGAGAAAAACAGAGCAAAACTAAAAATACTTCACTGGGTTGGGTTTCAGTGCTTAAATCATGCTGTAAATTACAGACATATTGTCCTGAGAGGGAACACGTCATCGCACAGAAAACGTGATGTTTCTTTTTTAACTTCTGCAAAATCGTGATGGTAAATCAGAGGCGAGAGGAGCTCCAGAAGATGCAACACATCCTCTCTGGAGACAACTGGGATGGTGCAGATGTTTGAACGGGAGGTCCAAATAAATCAAATCCGAAACCAAGAAAGGAACAAAACAATTCGAGAGAAATTTGTGGACGTATAAAAACCCATCTTTTCCAATCACAGTAACCTCAGCAGTAAAAGCCTCTGCTCCTCTGCAGAAGTTTCCTGTTTTGTCTCAGACTCAGCGTCTGGCAGTTTGGACCCATTTTTTCCAGCGTAAAAATGGGGAAGAAAGATTTTTTAGTTTTGGCTGAGTCGAGCTTTAGGTTTTAGGATGACTCACGTAGTTCAGTCCTGCATACCAACAGTTCCTCCTGAGACTGAAAGCTATGTGAGCCCTGATCACCTCCCCTCTCTTCCCCTGGAACAGCAGACAGTCAGAACCAG